GAAATGAAAAATCCCAGGTGAGATACACACAATGTCCTTAAAGTTGCAAGATAAAAAAAAAAAAAAATAGGTATAGTTCGTTCTTCAACATAAAATCTTTAATTTTGCTTTTAAAAAGTATTAACATTTTTTTCACATAAAAAAAATTAAAAATTGGGGTCACAATGTTCGAGTTACCCCAACACAAGTCACTAGAATCGCAACGTGACAGGCCTGGCAAAGCCAGCAGGACATGTTGCCTCCGTTTCTAATTACTTTCCTGTGCTACTTAACAGAACAATGGGCCCTGGTACTGTCAAAATTTGGAACTTTTCACAAAGCTTCTCTTATGCACAGTAGACCAAGGTGAGAAGGGATGAGATGTCATTATGCTGGATCTTGGTTCTACATTTGCCTTGATTTCCTGAGAATTAAAGAGAATGAACCCTTTTAACAAGAGCTAAGATACTATTTCTCTATATTTCTGTCTGGCAAGCAAATGTCCAAAAAACTTAACCTTCTACCCAAGTAAGAGGAGCTCTGTGGAATGACAGCCACTGAGACACTGTCCTAGTTTGGGGCCATTCTTTAAATAGAAAGAAGACTTAGCAGGGTGGGGAAGAAAGAGTAAGACTAGAGGGAAGGAGAGGAAAGGTGGACTGAAAATCTGGCATGAGTTCTTTAGCCTCTGTCAAGGATGATTTGGCCATGAAACCCAGGGTCCCCCCCCCTTACAAGACTTCCTTAGATTAGTGGTCTTCAAACTGGGTGCATATGTGTCTGGAGGCATATGGAGACATTCTAGGGGATAAGCAGAAATGGGCCGCGTAAGGGAATCATTTTGCAGATTTTAACTCTGTATGCACGATTATCCCAATGTTGGTCTGCCTGAGAGTTGCACCTGCTGTCTGCAGTCTTCGTTCCCACCCCCGCCTTCCCACTTCACAAAAGGAAGACACACCTCTCAGCCAGCCCCAAGGAATAAAAAATTCTCGTAGGTGGGAAAGACAAAGGGACAATTCAAAAAAGTATAACTACCAAGAGAGAGTACCTGACAGCAAAGCAAAGAAGGCAGAGATGACAAATAACAAAAGAACAGTGCCTTATTTCACCCATCTTCACACTTTTCCCATCTAACTATCTTAGAATTAAAACTCGGGGGTAAGAGTGTTGTCATGCGAAACGAATATATGTTAACACATGTTAACACATTTATAGGGATTGAAAAATAAAGTTAGACTTTGTTCTCACAGCAAATAATTCTAATTTGCCTGATTAGTTTGCCAATGAGGACTAACTTTACCACTTATATGATGAACATTCACCGTAAAGTGAATCAGCTATATTGGCTGCTCCAAAGTTTTAACAGAACGTAAGTGAAACATATACATGATATTCCATATGCCAGAAATCAAATCCTTTGATTTCACTTTGTTACAAACTGAATTTGTTACACTTATGATTAAAAAAATTAAATGTCAACTTAAAAATGTGAGGGCCACCTAGATGGCTCAGTTGGCTAAGCACCAACTTTGGCTCAGGTCATGAACTCACAGTTCACAAGTTCGAGCCCCACATAGGGCTCTCTGCTGTCAGCACAGAGCCCACTTTGGATCCTCTGTCCCACTCTCTCTCTGCCCCTCCCCGCTCGCACACACGCACTTGCTCATGCCCTCTCTCGCTCTCTCTCTCAAAAATAAATAAACATTAAAAAAAAATGTGAAAGGATGCAAAGACTTTCTAAATACTTTTAAGGGATATGAAAGCAAAAATTTGAAGACCATTGCTCTAGACTTCTCTCTGTTTGAACACAGAGAGGCTTCTGGTAGAAGAGCAAAATGAAAGGGGAAGATTCTCAAGTGGTCTGCCATAATCTCTGAGCACCAGCAAAAATACACTAAGGGGAAAAAATACACTGTTAACAGAACACCCAGCCAGTCCTAGGTAAAATGGCTGTTATTCCTCCCACCTGCCTTTCTGAAGTTCTCACTGTGCCCCTCCCCCTAATCTAATTATTTCCCATTCACATATCTCCCCTAGACCATTCCTGCTTTCATAATGTACCATACTCTAAAGTGGCTTTGCCCCCAGTCTTGTCTCAACATACCCACCCTCAAATGTAACTGATCTAAGCTACAATGTTATGGGCACAACAGTCTGGTTAACCAATTCTGCAGTATCATAACAGGCCATCAGTGGGATATATATACTTTAAGATTTATTTTGTATTAATCTAATAGAGTCTCAAATTTGTAGAATTTCGAGTCATTTGGAGGACTGAGCACCATCTTGCCCAAGAAGCAGAGACATCCAGTGTTTGAAGTCAGGCTCTGGGCAAAGGATCCTGATGCTTCAGAGGAACCGAGAGCCACTGACTCTAGCCCACTTTTCCCTTTTTTCTCCAAATCTAATCCCAGAAACCCTCTCCTCATTTTACTAATTTCCTAGGCTTGGGAAAATTATGCTTATTTCTCATACGTCTTTTCTTTTCTTGGCTTCAAATATCTAATATTTGAGGGACATACATACCATGCATAAAGCATGCTCACATGTGAGGCCCCAAGCACTCATCTGTATATATGCACCTGCCCCTTAACAAGGAATCTCTCATTTAATCCCTCCCAGCAATCCTGTGCAATGGGCTTCCTAAACCCCACCTGGTAAAAGAGGGCAAATTTTCCCAAGATCAAAGCTAATGGAGGTCCAAACTCACGTTCATTCATTCAAACACTGGTTTGCATAAGCACTGGAGGAGGTGTCATCTACTAGGCAGGAAGACAACCAGAGCCCTTGCTCTTCGAGATCTTCTATTCTAGTGCGGGCCAGTGAAACAGGCAGGTAGGATAAAGTCACTCTGTTTCTTTTCCTCTGCACTGTTCTCTGGGAAACCTTGGCCTAGGGCTGACTTCCCTGGGATACCAGGAGGAAACATGTGTGACGACAAAAATACAGCCTCTGAACTCATGGGCTTTCAACAAAACAGATTTGATTTCACATCATGGTTTTGCCATTACTAGCTATGAACTTTGGGCAAGCTACTTAATCCAAGTTTCCCTTCCTCAAGACCTTGGGAGAACACCTCCCCAGGCTTGACTGCTCTCAGCCATCCCATCTCAGCTCAAGTATGACTCCTCAGAAAGGCCTTTCTTGACCACTGAAGCTAAAGTGGCTTCCCTCCAACCCACCCCTCCCCCAAGTTATCTATATGCTAGCCTATAACAACTTGAAGTCCCCTAGTTTATTTATTGAGTTACTTGTTTACTTTTTTTGCCCACAATTAAGGGTCTTTGTCTGATTCAAGGCTATGTCCCTAGAAGCTGGGAATAGTCCTGGCCTATAGCAAGCCCTCAGTAAATAGCTGTTAAACAAATATGTCAACCAGACCAATGGAACAATGCTTCACAATTCTTCATCATTTTTGCAAACTTAACCCCAAGCTTTATTTAAGTTACAACGACTATTAGTTTGTTCAGCTTACCTAATTGATCCGATCTAAGTCCAGCCCATGGGTACCTTCTCCCCACCGAGGGATTATAGGACTCTGACAAATATGACTTTTTCCACAGAAAGTTTCTCTGGTATTCACTCAGCCCCTGAGATACAAAATAAAATTTAAGTACAACGCAATTAATGGACGTTGTTTTAAAAAAAAAAGACATCAGTAAAATAATTTCAGAACCATGAAAAGAGTTGAAAGCCTGGAGATTGATAAAACACAGAAGAGCTCCCTAATAACAACTAATATTTACCCAGCCCTGTGCTAAGCAGTTCACATGTCTTCTATCCTTTAATCCTCACAACCACTTGAGGCAGATGCTGGCAGGAATCCGACTCCCTGAGCAGCTACCTTTTTGCTGGTTGTCTGGTTCCAAAGCCTGAGCTCTTGTCTGATAGCAGGTGACAATCTAAATCCCCATCGCTATAATTATCCTTACTGATTACGCCGGCAATGAGTACACAGTATCAGGTATTAGGCCTAGTACCTCTCGAAATGTTGTAAAGTCAACCAAAGACGAATTCCCATCCCATTCTGGATACAAGCCCTTAAGATAAAAGAATAAAACAGGGTTTGTGGAAGGCTGTGGTCAACTGTTATGCTGATGGGTGCCTGACCCTGACACCTTCCACCCACCTGAAACTTACGCACAACTATGAAAACTGTATATTTCTTACACCCTATCTTTACCTAGCCAGGGTCCCATTTCTCGGTCCTTTAAAAGACATAGGCACTTTAAAGTTTTAAAGGGCAGGTAGGGGGCGGAGGGTAAAAGGCTGAGATGTGAGATGGGCTACAGGTGTCCCAATCTGAAGCCACCTTAGATCCCATTACAAAGCGCCCTCCTTCCATCACCACTCCCCTGTGCCCTCCAAAATCAATCTCTCTCAACACCACCAAACGCCTCCATACTGCAACTCGGAAATGTGTGTGAGCGGAGAGGGAGCTAGGTGGAGGAAGCAAGCATCCCTCAGGATCTTGGCAAGCAGGCTCGGGAGCTGACAGGCATTGCGGGGCCCAGGAGCGCCGCGCAGAAAGCCAGCGCGGCCCCCGCGCCTGCACCCGCCCCACCACGACTCCCCCCCGCCCCCCCAGCAGACTTCGGATCTGGAGACCACGGCCTCACCTTGAAGCGCACCGGCATGTCGCTCGGCGCTAGAGCCCCCGCCACTCCGACAGTTAACGGGACAAAAAGCCCCGAGGGGGCGGGGCGACAACAGTGGGTTCCCTAGCAAAATCCTCAGCCTGGCGTCCCCGACTACGCGCCGGCGCACTCCGCGCTTCCCTCCTTGAGCCCCTACGCTCTGCCTTTCTCCGCCCATTCTGAGGTTTAAGAACCAATAGAGACCCCGAGAACTTCTTGCCGTCATTAAGATTCGACCAATCAGTGCCCGAATGGGGGACGCCCGCCTCCCGTGACAAATCCCGGCGACTAACAGAAATGGCGGGCGGAAGACTGGCCAATGAGGTTCCCGGAACCGGGTGGGTGGGGCCCCGCGGGAGCTTCGTCCTGGGGAGAGCTCAGCGGCTGCTGGTATTGAGGGTCGTGTGCGGCTGTGGGTGTACCTGCCGGTGGGATTCGTATGTCACCGGCCTCGCTGGGGCCGGGTTCGTGACGTCAGAAAACATGAAGGTGTGTTCTTAATTCCAAATCTGTGACGAAACCGAAATGTTTTCTTTTTCTGAAATGAGAATGTTCAGGTCTGTTCTCCTGAATATCAGGTCCTACAACTGACAGCCATGTTACATCACTTACTGTCGCATCAAAAGGGATAGGCTAAAAAGAAGTATTGCTTAGGCAGGCCAAAAAAAAAAAAAAATTATTTACTCTTGAAAGATAAACTGCTTACTTTCAGTGATGTTTTTGCCTCCCACTACCCCGCCCCCGCAAAAAAAAAAAAGTATATATAGTTCTTAATATTAGAAAACATTAATGATGCTTGTGAGTCTCAGCTTCTAAAGCTTCAGCGTTGTCTCTCCTCTCATTCATTTAAAAAAATAAAATTGCATCTAATTTCAATAGACTTGCCATCATCATCAGTAAGTATTTTTTGAGATTCTCCCATTGACAGAACACTGTGCTGGGAAAGAAATAAATTGTCCGGACAGTTCTCTAACATACTTGCAGAGAATGAACATATATTTATTCAATAATGTATAATGTATCATTGTACTAAATTTTCAAATGGCAGGTATGATGATAAGGGCTACAGGAGTTGGAGGAGGGAGTTGTCCTTAAGGGTAGAGATGATTAAAAGAAGCCTCAGGAAGAAATATTCGGACTCACCCTTGGAGATTAGAAGGACTGAAATAAAGAGGAAAACGGGACGATCACAGGGCAGATGTCTGAATGGAATACTGCCCAGCTTCTTCAAGGAACAGTGAAAATAGTGCCTTTACTTTTGTCATTTGTTGACTAAAGAAAAGTATACCCTCTTTTAAACTTTCAAATATTAATAACAATCCTTGATGCTCTAAGCATTTTCTGCAAAGACTTGTCTTCCTGAATCCTAATTGATGTCTCTGTTCTTCTTCATCATCACTGAGATACTTAAAAATTCATTTGAAAGAGCCACCTGATACCTGAAACAAAGAGAATATTAAATTAGCCCCTATGTGGCCATGCATCCAGGGGACCCTTGATAAATGTTAATTGGTGATGACAGCATCTCTGTCGTGTAAATTGAGAATGGCACCAACAAGACACAGCGGAACATAAACTGAAGGAGGTCCTCTTCAGGAAAACAGTCCAGACTGCACAGAGTAGGAAAAACACAGCTCTGGTTGTATATACAGCTTTGTTAGGACAGAAGGCTGAGGCGAAGTCAATAAAAGCAGGCATGTAGAATGTAGCCTGTCTGCTAAACAAGGACCATGGTAACTGCAGTAGGGCTCTGCTGAGAAGGGAATAAAGGACAAGAGCGACAGGTGGGAAAAATAACGGAGTCACAACCGGGGTTGGCTGAGAGGTGCTAAAGGGACTCAAGGAAGAAGAGTACTTTGCTTTGTTATTCTTAAATGAAAGCCTCCTCAAGTTTATGAGGCAAAGACGTAGACATGCAAAAAGGGACAACCTTAGTATATGAGCCTATAGCCTGTGTTTTACCAGCTTTTACACTACTACTGCAAGAAACAGACCCAGCACCTACAAAGTTCCACCCAAGTGTTGGGGGAGTCCCGGGAGGTGTCTCACATGTGCTTACAGCTACCACATACAGTATGCAGGGCAACACTGCCTCTCATTTCAGTAGGCACACATCTGCATGTGTCACTCTTGCTGCTGGCCACCACAGCCACAAGTGCTGAGTACTGAGCCTCCACTGGGCACAGCATGAAGCGTCCTCCGACTGCCCAGTCCTGCTGGTGATCTGTGACAAGGCACCTCCCTCTCCTTTTTGTGTTACCCTCTATTAAGTGAGTATCAAAGTGTCCTGGAGGGTTTTTCCATTTGTATTTCAGCCTTCCCTCTCTCCAAAGGGAATTCCATGGAGCCTGGGCCAGAAAGTAATCCTCAAGTGATAGGTTTCATTCTGTGTCATTCTATGACATTCTATTCTAGATGAGCTTCTCCCTTCCACAGCCAAGCCTCTCTTCCTAGGACGAGAGTGTCATACCTGGCTCCCTCTTCCCTTTGTTGATGTCTCTGTTTCTCATGCAAATAGATTTCTCTTAATTATCTGTGAGAGATTAAATTGGTACCACCTCTAATGAAGGACAATTTTGCAGTCCTTTGACCCAGCAATTCTACTTTTATAACTTTATCTTATAAATATACTTGCCCATATGTGAAAATTATCTATTGAAGGTTGTTTACTGTATTGGAAACAACTTAAATGTCCATCTGCAGGGGACTAGTTAGATGTATTGTGTTTCCTCCAGGGCCCAGAGCAAGAACAGGCTATGCAGCAGGCCCAGATGACAGTGCAGGCCGCTCTGCTCCCTAGGGCTTCCACCCCAGCAGGTCCAGGTGGGTCAGACCCGCTTCTGGTGTCAAGTGTTATATCCATCAGGGTCTGGCTGGGAAAACTGAAACTACCAGAGGCATTTCCAAAAAGAAAGCTTAACATAAACTATTGGTTAATGAGTTACTAGAGAACTTTGAAAAGCTAAAAGGAGAAACAGGATAGTAATTCCAGAAAGCAGCTCACACCCCTGAGGTTGGAAAAGCAAAGGGAAATGTTGATGTTACTGAAACACAGAGGTTTGCCCTAGAGGCCTCAGGGAGTTGGTGAGACCTCTGCCCAGCTGGTACTGGTGCCTCTTAGGGAACAAAGTGAGGCTGCCCCTGGGAATGACAGAAAGGGAGGGAAGGAAGGAAGGAAGAGAGAGTGAGAGAAAGAAAGAAAGAAAGAAAGAAAGAAAAGAAAGAAAGAGAAAGAAAGAAAGAAAGAAAGAAAGAAAGAAAAAGAAAGAAAGAAAGAAAGAAAGAAAGAAAGAAAGAAAGAAAGAAAGAAAGAAAGAAAGAAAAGAAAGAAAAAGTTGGAGACTGAACCAACTACTACCATGGAGAAAACAGTCATCATTAAGGTGCTGCTGAGAGCAAAAAGCGAGTGAAAGCAGGCATTCTGGTCTCTAGTGTCCTCTCTTAGCAGACCTAGAGGGAGTTAGTCAGCAGGATCCAAAGGATCTGCACAGCCCAAAAGGTAAGATTGAAAGTGAAAGACAGTAACTTAGTAACTTCTACCTATCCAACCCTTTAAAAGAAAGAAGCATTTTTTTTTTAATGAGCTAACATGGAAGGAGTTCAAAAAAAAGGCAAGTTACAGGTGTGTATAGTATACCATCAGTTGGCATAAGAGAAAGACAAAAGAAGAAAAATGATGTTATCATTCACAGACACTTTTTCCCTCACTCATAAGTCCAACTCCATTAGTAGCAGCTATGAAGATGAAGAACATTTCATACAGCTTATAAATATATGGAGACTTTAAGGTATTGATAGCTACTACAACTATTCTCTTCGCGTGAAATAACGCCTTTGACTCTTTCCAGATTTACTTTGATTTACATATATTGCAATAGGTCTGTTTTCTATTTTAGAGACAAAAATATATCAAAATCCTTTAAAAACAACTTTTATTTGCACTTTAAATATAAATATACTACCCATTAAATTAAAAACAAGAAGTCAATCACTCCACAAACCTAACAGTCTCCTATCGTTTTCAAAGCAGCAATTGAAACATTGGAGAATTTGTATTTGTATTCAAATTTGTATTTGTGTTGAATCTATATGTGCTTCTAACCATATTTTTATTTTACAAACAAAAATATACTGCTATAAGCAAAATACTATCAAAGGGTTGAAGAAAGAAGATACAAAGAAGAGTAAGATACAGCCCGTTTCAAATCTGATTACAGTTGAATGAAGGAACAGACATACACACAAAGAACACAGGAAATGATAGAAGGATTCAAGAAAGGAGCTAAATGTGAGCACTCTGGTATTCTGAAGATGCTTTTAAATCTAGTGCCAGAAAGTTTGATCCAAGACTCCAGACTAAAGAGCAGACAGGATAACAGAGCTGCTTTTAAGTTCCATCCTGGGAAACACCTGATCGAGAGAACCTTTCACTTTCTCTTTTGTTCTGCCCTAGGTAGCTGAATCCAGGCCAGAACTAACATTTGCTCAAGATTGGGTCTCAAAAAGGTAAGTTACTTGCTCTCTGTTATCTTATTTTCCCTGGCTGCTTTAGAAATCAGAGTAAAGCTGTTTTAGAAACCACCCTACAATCAACACAGTGATGCATCAGCCTTATGTTTGCATATATGTGATTTTTTTCTGAAATACCTTGCAAGGTAACTGAAATTCCAGTTTCCAGGCTTAGTAATGCTCTTGAGCTCTGTAACTTCCTCTTGGGTCATATACGTGGGCTTTCCTTGGTAAATCTTGATCTCAGCCTCTGCCAAAAAGCAATCAGTCAGACAGCCGCTTTCTTTGGCATTTTTCCATAAGTTTTAACTGCTTTTTCCTCACATGAATGAATTTCTGATTACACGACTGAAAAGAAAAATGACAAAATTAAATCAATGGATTCTGTTTCAGAAGCAAAATTGCTGATACTTCACATTAGTTTCAGTAAGAATCAAATAAACAGGGTGTGTGATTAAGACTTACCGATGAGCCAAGTGCAATTTATCCTCCAGACTTTTCGCCGTAGGATGCCTTTGTTGACAAAGAAGTGTCTGGCTTTTGAATCAATGGGGCACCTTTTGGAGGGACTCCAGGTTCTCTTGACAACATGAACTTTTTTTCCTTTTTTTTTTTTTTTTTTTTTTTTTGGTGAGCCTGAGGGACTTCTAGCCATACAAGGCCATGACTGAATAAAGAAAGTAATTCTTAGTAAGGCATAAGTCACTGCAAGCCTCCCATACCATAATAACATGTTGTGCCTCCACTGAACAAGACACAGAGAACAAAATTTGAAGGCACATAATTCTTTTCATTTTAACGCCTTCACTGTTGATGATTTTGTTATCAAAAAATTGCCTTCCCTTTTCTTCAGTGATTATTGTCCTAAGTCACCATCGCTAGGAAAGTATCCACAAGGACACAGATTTTTCTGGAATCACTAACTCTGTAGATTTGGAAGCATTAATTCTCTGACCACTTAAAACCAGGTGTCGTGTCTTAAGGTCAGACCAGAGGACAGTATCCACTGTCTTCCTGAGAACCTTCTAAATCTCTACCCTACTCCAAAATAAATTTTGAAATATTCTTTTATCATGTAGTATATAGGCACCTTAATAACTTCAGGTCAAGACCAAATGCCTGCCATTATTCCTACTGAAATCACTGTTCTATTAGTAACTCTATATCAAATACCAATAAGGGACTAAGAATTTTTCAGAACATAAATCAGTTTTCCTCTCCTTAGTGACTTAATAATTGTTGATTCCCTTAAAACATTCATTTGGGTTTTGCTGGAGCAATGAGTTCATAAAATCTTAGTACTATGTGGTTCATTCTCTCAGCTTCCAGTAATTGAATTAATAATGTTTGACAGTATAGTGATATGCCAATTGTGAAATACTGCACAATGAATTTAAAGAAATTGTTTCAATATCACGGAGCACAACTTACAGAATAAGTTTTAGGAATCCTTTTCATTTGAGTTAATCATAGCTGTGGCAGATACTGAGGCTGACACTCCAAATCCATTCCAGCCTCCTTCTCATCCACTGCAGAAGCTAGAAAGCTAAAGTCCCTTTGACACTAGACCCCTTTGCAGCTGATGGTCAGGTGTAACTTACATTTTGCTGATGAGAAGCACTTGCATAAATTGAATTAGATGGGAGAAAGAAAGACAAAGCATAAGCAACTGTTGTGGTTATGGCGGTAGCAGCAGTAAGTTATGGCAGTAGCAGCAATAGCATGGTTATGAAAAGGTAGCTCTATCAGCAGCTTCCTGGTCACCACAGCAGTGACCGATTTCTGGAGCCAGGGCTTACAGAGGTGGCTTATTATTAACTTAGCGTTGAATTTCCTGGTTCTACAACTTCCTGACATTAGTGAGTCTATCTGTCTCTTCTAGAATTTACTCCTCTGCATTCCCAAGGATTCTGTAAGCCACTTTGTGTCAGTCATCTATTGCTACAATAATACTGTATAACAAACACCCCCAAAAAGAGTGGCTTAAAACAATAACCATTTAGTATTGCTCATGACTCTATGGGTCAGTTGGCCAGTTCTAGTAGCCTAGGTTGAGCTTGGCTGACCTCACTGAGCTTGCTCAGTGGTTATTTGGTGGGTAAACTAGAAGCTGGCTGGTCTCCAACGACCTCAAGTAGGAAAACTCATCATTGCTCCCTCACCTTCCAGCAGGCCAGCCTGGATTATTCTCATGGGATAGGAGGGTACTAAGAGGGAGAGCAAAGTATGCAAGGCCTCTTGAGGATTAGGTTTAGAACCAGCACACCATCACTTATCACTTCTACCACATTCCACTGGCCAAAGCAAGCCAAACAGCCAACCCAGATTTAAGACTAGGGGAACAGGGGTGGCTCAGTCTGTTAAGCATCTGACTCTTGGTCTTGGCTCAGGTCGTGACCTCACGGTTTGTGAGTTCAAGCCCCACATCGGGCTTCGCACTGACAGTGCAAGGTTGGGATTCTCTCTCTCCTTCTCTCTCTGCCTCTCCTCTGCTCCTGCTCTCTCTGTTTCTCTCTCAAAGTACATAAACTTAAAAAAAAAAAAAGAGTAGGGAAACAGAGTCAACCCTTGATGGGAGGAGTCACAAAGTCACATTATAGAGGAGGAATGAAAATTTAGGTCTATTTTTTTCAGTAAATCTGCCTCAACACTGAATACCCTGAAAATACCCTCTCTGCTTTAAATATCTGAGTTAGTTATGTTCTCTGCAGTTTAACTCTGACCAATACAGTGGTGAGTTATATATTTGCATTTATCTCTATTCCCTCTCAAAACACTATAAAATGACAGTAAATGGATAAACCAGGTATAAATTGGTGAAGTCAAAGAGAATGGCAGAGGAGACAACTGCAAAATAGAGATGTGGACAAATATTGGTGACATGGAAACAGAGTCTTACAGGCTGGGCTCTGGGAGAAAGAGATGGACCCTGAGATGAAGTTGAAGGTGTTGAATGTTTATTACTGAAGGCCCTTGGGATCAACATCTGTGGAAGGGAGGGCAAGGGAGCAGGACTGGGTAGAAGTCAGGTTTAAAGCAGCCCTGACAACCTCAACTAACCCCATGGGGAGTCCAGAACTAAAAGAGCCTGTGAGACATGCCCTGTGCTGGGCTATATAATGGGCTTCCCTAGAAAGAACATGACCTTGGGTAAGGCAGCTCCCTCCAGTGGAGGTCACAGTATAGCACACAGACAGGAGGCAACTATCCTTCCCTAAAGTGGAACATGGACAAGTGCATCACCATAAGCATGTTCCTACTAAGCAATCAATGTTCCTAACAAACAACACGTATTTGAAGCCATAGGCAAAAATATCTCTGTTCCTATTGGGAGCCAGTCTCAATGCAGCTGTTAGAGTTTTAGTCCCCAAATCTTCAAGAGTGAAGGAGGGTCCCTGTCAGCACTGGTACCCTTAGTTCTGGTTCAGAACTCCCAGAGACAAAACACTGGGCCTGAATCTCACTGTACCTTTTCCCTTCCCTAGGCTGTCTCCTCTATCTTACCATGCTGTGGTTCACTTTGCACCTGCATTGGGACATCCACAGCCTTGTGCTTCCAGAGAATCTGGTGGTGTTGGTGCCATGCTAATGGTTAGGAAAGCCAGATACAGGGGCCAGCAGGACATTCTGCTTGTGAATTTCCCAGTCAAAGGAAGGGTGGGAGTTGGAGCTGGAGAGGAGCACAGGAATCCTGACCTTAGAGGGGAGCGAGGGGAAAAGGAACTGGACCTGAGGAATTGGCCTAGAACTTGCCTTTTTACCTCAAGGTGTATAAAGCCCACATTCAAAAATATTGTCACCCATAACCAGTAAAGAAACTGAATTAGGAATCAAAAATCTCCCAAAAAACAAGAGTCCAGAGGCAGTTGGCCTTCCAGGGGAATTCTACCAAACATTTAAGGAAGAGTTAACACCTATTCTCTTGAAGCTATTCCAAAAATTAGAAATAGAAGGAAAACTTCCAAACTCTTTCTATGAAGCCAGAATTACCTTGATTCCAAAACCAGGCAGAGACCCCACTAAAAAGAACTATAGACCAATTTCCCTGATGAACATGGATGCAAAAATCCTCAGCAAGAGATTACCCAACTGGATCCAACAATACATTAAAAAAAATATTCACCACAACCAAGTGGGATTTATACCTGGAATACAGGGCTGGTTCAATATCCTCAAAACAATAAATGTGATTCATCACGTCAATAAAAGAAAGGACACGAACCATATGATCCTCTCAATACATGCAGAGAAAGCATTTGACAAAATACAGCATCCTTTCTTGATAAAAACCCTCAAGAAAATAGGGATAGAAGGATCATACCTCGAGATCATAAAAGCCATATATGAAAGACCCAATGCTAATATCATCCTCAATGGGGAAAAACTGAGAGCTTTCCCCCTAAGGTCAGGAACGAGACAGGGAAGTCCACTCTCACCACTGTTATTTAACGTAGTATTGTAAGTCTTAGTCTCGATCAGACAACACAAAGAAATAAAAGGCATCCAAATTGGCCAGGAGGAGGTCAAACTTTCACTCTTTGCAGATGACATGATACTGTATATGGAAAACCCAAGATTCCACCAAAAAACTGCTAGAACTGATTCATGAATTCAGCAAAGTTGCAGGATATAAAATCAATGCACAGAAATCAGTTGCATTCCTATACAACAACAATGAAGCAACAGAAAGAGGAATCAAGGGATCGATCCTATTTACAATTGCACCAAAAAACATAAAATACCTAGGAATAAATCTAACCAAAGAGGTGAAAAATCTATATACTGAAAACTATAGAAAGCTTATGAAAGAAATTGAAGAAGACACACAAAAATGGAAAAAGATTCCATGCTCCTGGATAGGAAGAACAAATATTGTTAAAATGTCCATACTACCCAAAGCATCTACATATTCAATGCAATCCTTATCAAAATAACACCATCATTCTTCACAGAGCTACAACAAATAATCCTAAAATTTGTATGGAACCAGAAAAGACCCCAAATAGCCAAAGCAATCTTGAAAAAGAAAACCAAAGCAGGAAGCATCACAATCCCAGACTTCAAGCTGTATTACAAAGCTATAATGATCAAGACAGTATGGTAGTGGCACAAAAACAGACACTCTGATCAATGGAACAGAATAGAGAACCCAGAAATGGACCCACCAATGTGTGGCCAACTAATCTTTGACAAAGCAGGAAAGAATATCCAATGGAATAAAGACAGTCTCTTCAGCAAGTGGTGCTGGGAAAACTGGACAGCGACCTGCAGAAGAATGAACCTGGACCACTTTCTTACACCATACACAAAAATAAACTCAAAACGGATAAAAGGCCTCAATGTAAGACAGGAAGCCATCAAAAACCTCGAGGAGAAAGCAGGCAAAAAAACCTCTTTGATCTTGGCTGCAGCAACTTCTTACTCAGCACATCTCCAGAGGCAAGGGAAACAACAGCAAAAATGAACTATTGGGACCTCATCAAAATAAAAAGTTTCTGCACAGCAAAGGAAACAATCAACAAAACTAAAAGGCAACTGACAGAATGGGAGAAGATATTTGCAAATGATATATCAGATAAAGGGTTAGTATCCAAAATCTATAAAGAACTTATTAAACTCGACACCAAAAAACAAATAATCCAGTGAAGAAATGGGCAAGAGACATGAATAGACACTTCTCCAAAGAAGACATCCAGATGGCCAACTGACACATGAA